GCTCACTTCTTGTCTCCTGCAGAGTCAGATGAGGTGGATCTGTCGTCAGGTAGGGCGCTCAGGATGCGTGATGCCCGCCGGGGCCGTTGGGCTGAGGTGCACGGGGGCGGGGGGAGGGGAAGGGGGGCCTCTACTGCTCTCTCGGCCTCGCCCCCGGGATCGAGAACTCTGTTGGTGTGGAAAGTAACCAATGGGCGCTGGAGGGGGATGGGCAGGCCCTGCAGAGCACGTGGGAGGGTCTCCAGTGTCACCTACTTCCTGCTCTACACACGCGAGGGGACACTGGGTGGGTAAAAGCGTGGTTTCCTGGCTGGGTTGAAGGGGAGAAAGGGAGAGGTCGGGCTTGGGGGGCTGCCTCCCGCGGCTCAGCAGTTCCTCTGACCATCCGAGGACCATGCGGCCAACGGGTCATCACGACGCGCATCGTGGGTGGACTGGACGCTGAACTCGGGCGTTGGCCATGGCAGGGGAGCCTGCGCCTGTGGGATTCCCACGTGTGCGGAGCGAGTCTGCTCAGCCACCGCTGGGCGCTCACTGCGGCGCACTGCTTTGAAGAGTGAGTGGGGTGCGAACTGAGGGGTGTGGGGACGGGCAGGAGCAGGGCTGGAGGGAGTGCCACCTAACTTTACCTATGGTCTGATGCCACACTTGGGCGTGAATGTGGTGCGTGGATGCCGCCTGGTGTTCTACTGAGCCCCAGGCTCTGCGGCAGCCGGTTACACCCATTCCAGTTCCTTTTGGGTCTCCGGGAGGGAACCCTGTTCAGGTTCTTCCAGAATGTTCTTCCAGAACATTTCCACACACTTTTGGGTATTCTCTCCCTTTTTCTTTTAACCCAAAGCTCACCACCATCCATCCCACCCTCATTCCGCCTCCTGGTGGACGTGCAGTACAGTGTGGAGCACTGAACCAAGGCGAGCATGCCCGGGACGCTCTGTGGACTCCATCCTGCCAAGCCCACACTGCCGTGGTGCATCTGCCCATTCCTCCTTGGGCTGCATGGGGGTGCCCCTGGAGGCCTTGGCTTAATGCAAGGGTCCTTGGGACACCTCTGGGAGATGACAAGACCCCACCCTCCTGCTCCAGGAGCAGGTCCTAGGACTTTGGTTGTGATCTCTCTGGGCTCTTTCATTTCTACAGGGGACCCTGGGTGTTAGCAAGTAGTAGCAATGCCACAGTCTCCCCTCCTGGACTGGGCCCCAGTTGTGCTCAGGCAGCCAGCCCTCCGTCCAGGGCCCCTGATTGCTCTCTTCTCTTCTACCAGAGAGAGTGACCTTAGTGATCCCTCTGGGTGGACGATCCAGTTTGGCCAGCTGACTTCCATGCCATCCTTCTGGAGCCTGCAGGCCTACTACACCCGTTACTTCGTGTCGAATATCTATCTGAGCCCTCGCTACCTGGGGAATTCACCCTATGACATTGCCTTGGTGAAGCTGTCTGCACCTGTCACCTACACTAACCACATCCAGCCCATCTGTCTCCAGGCTTCCACATTTGAGTTTCAGAACCGGACAGACTGCTGGGTGACCGGCTGGGGGAACATCAAGGAGGATGAGGGTGAGGCTGGGGACAGGCAGGTCAGGGAGGAACTGTCTTTGTTCACCTGTTCCCCTACACAGGCACAATAGCCCCTTGCTTGGTCTGGGAGTGCAGGCTACGCCCCCCTTGTGCGCAGTCTCTCCTCACCTACCAGGGCAGGGACCAAACACCCAGTCTCTCCCTTCCAGGGGCTGTGGGGGCCAGAAGGAGAGTGTGAGAGGGAGGCCAGCTTGGTACAGGCCTGTGGGTGGTGGGGTGGTGGAGGGGTTCTGGAGGGCTTGGCGACATAAACGTCAGACTTGAATTTATTGCTGCATCTTTCCACCTCCCCCGGTGCTCACCAATGCCCCAGGCATCAGGCTCCCGGGCTGCCTCTCCAAGCCTCTTGCACCCACCCTAGCTCTGGCCGGTTCTCCTGCAGCACTGAGCCCATTCCTCTCCCCATAAATTTTCAAGCCATGCTCAACCGCAGCTCCCACGGAAACCCCTCTGGGGATTCTCTGGTGGGCCTGCCCTGGCACCTGCATGTCCCCCAACACACATGCCCTGAAAGAAGTGGGCCCAGCATCTGGAGGAGCCCTGGGGCCGGCAGCCCCTGACTGGGTGTGTTCCCTGTATTAGGAATCCCCTTCCCTCTGCTCCCCTGTCTGGCCTGTCACTGCATCATCCCACAACAGTAGTAACAATAACAAATGTGGTTCCTTGAGCACACGCAGTGTGCCTGGCACTGTTCTAGGCATGGGGACCCAGCAGTGAGGCAGGCGCGGCCTCTCCTCCTCCTGGAGCTCACCTAGGAATGAAGTTGGTAACGTTTTTATACCCATTTTACAGATGAGAAAACTGAGAGGGTTATGGAAATTGCCAAGAACTGATAAATGGAGAAGTCAGGGCCCCTTGCCTTAGAGAGGGTAAGGGATGTCCCCAGGTCACACCCCGGCAGTTGGAAGCGGGAATGGGAAACTCAGCACTGGAGCCGCCTCCCTCTAGAGGAGGGATCCTTTCCCTTCCCTGGGAAGGGCCCCTGCTGCAAAGATGAGTGGGTGTGAGCCGGGGGCACGGCCAGGCTGCCTCTGCCACCCTCTCTCCCCAGCGCAGAGTGGACAGGTCACACCAACCCCAGGCTGCGCCTCAACTCACAGTGTAGGGGAGGCGGGGGGCAGGCACTTCTGGAGCCCCCTGCCTGGTATGCACCTTTGCTCTGCCCTGCGCTGACTGGGAGGCCTTGGGCAAAGCTGTTCATCTCACGGTGCCTCAGTTTCCTCCCCTGTGAAACAGGGTAATGATGGTTCCACATCACAGGCTAGTTCCCAGGTTGTTAGTCCCAAGGGCTTAGGAGAGGCCCCGCTGATGGGAAGCGCTGCCTGCAGGTTGGGCCTTGTTGTCTTTTGTCATCCTCTGCAGTACAAGGTGCTGGCTGGGACTCTGAGGCAGGAATTGGACAGGTGTGGGTTCCTGTCAGGCTCTGAGACTTCCCCAGTGCCTTGCCGGGGGTCAGCGGGGTGATATCCCCCTGACTCTCCTTATCTGGGAGTGGGTCCTGATGACTGCTGCCTCCCAGGGGTACTGGGGGGGCCCTAAGAGCGCCGCAACAAGCTTGTGCCCAGGCCCTGAAAGCGCCCAGCTGCTACTGAGGCCAGGGCTGCAGCCAGGCTGCCTCTCCCCCGGGTCTGGCTTTGGGTGCTCATCTTAACACCATCTCAGCTGCCTTCGCCCCTCCCCCTGCTCCTTTTTGCTAAGGAATCTCTCCGTGGGCGCAGGCAGGGCCATTGTTGCCATTCTACAGATAGGGAAAGTGAGGCTGGAGGAGCTCTGACAGCCTGTCTCTCGCTGGGGCCTTCGTGATGCTGCTGAGGGCCTCTGCTGTGCTGGGATCTGGGCTGGAGCTGGGGGTAATGGAGATGAACTTGCCAGGCACAGTGGGTGCCCTAGGACCCCCACCCCCACAGCCTATGCCATCCCTCCCTAGAGGGGCCTCAAGTTGGTGTCTCTCTCTTTCCCTCTATCGTCCCCACAGAACTGCCATCTCCCTATACCCTCCAGGAAGTTCAGGTCGCCATCATAAACAACTCTATGTGCAACTACCTCTTCTTCAAGTATAGTTTCCGCACGGACATCTTTGGAGACATGGTTTGTGCTGGCGATGCCCAAGGCGAGAAGGATTCCTGCTTTGTGAGTGTCCCTGCCACCACTCCCAGCCCAGGAAAGCAACCTGTGTCCCTGTGCTTTATTTGACCCTCATGCCAACCCCAGGAGGTGGAGACTGTTGCCCCACTCTGCAGATGCAGAAACGGAGGCTTGGCCGCTGCCAGGGGGAGGAGAAGGATGTGCACCCAGTCTACCCAGCCCCACAGCCCTTCCTGCTCTCGGCTTCTCCCCTGCCCCACTCACTCCGCCCCAGGCTGATCTCAGCCCTGCTGCTCCCCAGGGTGACTCAGGTGGACCCTTGGCCTGTAACAAGAATGGACTGTGGTATCAGATTGGAGTCGTGAGCTGGGGAGTGGGCTGTGGTCGGCCCAATCGGCCCGGTGTCTACACCAATGTCAGCTACCACTTCGGGTGGATCCAGAAGCTGATGGCCCAGAGTGGCATGTCCCAGCCAGACCCCTCCTGGCCGCTGCTCTTTCTCCCTCTTCTCTGGGCTCTCCCACTCCTGGGGCCAGCCTGAGCCTACCCAAGCCCGTGCAGGCTGGGGCCACTGCTAAGTCAGGCCCTGGTTCTCTTCTGTCTTGTTTGGTAATAAATACATTCCAGTTGATGCCTTGCAGAGTATTCCTCAAATGCGGTGGCTTCATGGACAGCTCATTCTCTCTTGTGCAGCCGGCCTGTCTGTGCCCCTGGCTCACACCCACATCTGTTCTGTTTTGATCAGAAAGAGAATTGTGTGTTGCTCAGGCTGGTCTTGAACTCCTAGGCTGATCTCGATCCTCCTGCCTCACCCTCCTGAGTAGCTGAAATTAGACGCATATCATGCCCCGCAATGGAACAGGAGTAGTTCCAGGGTGCCAGGAGCTGAGAAGCCTGGAGTGGGGGTGTGTGCATTGGAGGAAATGATCCTGACATCCCTCACCCCCTAAGGATCCAGCACAGAAACGCCAGACATCCTGATCTTACCATGGTTCCCCCAAGGCTGACCTAGGACCAGGACATGGGTGCAGGTAGTTTATCTGGGAGGTGATTGCAGGAAGTGGGGAAACTGAGGCAGGGAAGGAGGGAACGCTGATGAGCTTGCACAAACACAGAGGGTGCCATTCTAGGCAACTGGGGTGCAATCCTGTGGGGGCCTCAGCATTGGCCCACTGAGGACAAGGACACCAGGGTGGGCGTTTCTCTCTTGACCACGCCCCCCACCATGTTGAGAGTAGTCCTGGGGCATAGGATGCCCCAGAGCTGGCACAGCCCTGAGGTGAGGCTCTGGGCACCCAGGGAGTAGGCAATAATGCTTCCCCTTGTGGGACTCCAGCTGGCTCCGTGTTTGAAAATCATGGTCCTCCCTTAGCTATGTTTTTATTTTTTTATTTTTATTTTTTCAGTTTATTGCATGAAGGAATTACACTAGTGCAAGTTAAAAGCAGACCCCAAATGGTTACATTAGACAAACTGTGACGTTTTTAAACTTGTAACAAGGGAAAGAAGGGAAATTCTACTCATTACGAGGAAATCCTCACTTAAGTTTCAGTGAGCCATAAGTAGTTAAAACCCTTGAACCATCAGTCGATCGTCCTTAGCCAGTCCTACCTCTACAAGGCACTGGCATATGTTCTTGCACTGGTCATCCTGTAGCTGAATGGCTTCTCTGTATTCTGGATGCTCAGTTACCGTCCCATTGCAGGCAAATTTCCTCTTAAATGCCTTCACTAGTTGCTTTTTATTGTAATCGTTAGTGATCCCTTAGACAGGACTAAGGGTTTTCCTGTCGTTTCTCTGGTGAATTCTTGCATGGATCTAATCCTCAGTGCCTGCAGGGAGCAGGTCATTACTCTTACTTACATCAGCAAAGGGGTGGAAAGAGTGGAGAATCTGGATAGTGGACGTACAAGATGATTCCTTTTCCTCGGTGGAAATGGCCTGTGGAAGGCAGTGGCATGGCAGGAGAAAGCAGTGTGAGGGGGACAGAGTGTGGGGGAGTGAGAGGATTCGAAGTGGGGGCTGCTAAGTCCTTGGCTGTGGCTCAGTGACTGAGGCTGGAGGTGCTTTCAAATCAAGGGACAGAGTACACCTAAGCTACTTCGGATCTTTTATGGCCCTCCTGGTGATATAGGAGTTAAGAAGAGATTATTTAGGCAGATAGCGAGGGGAAAGAAGTTCTTGGTATGGTTTTCTTCTTTCTTTCTTTCTTTCTTTTTTTTTTTTTTGAGATGGAATTTTGCTCTTGTCCAGGCTGGAGTGCAGTCGTGAGATCTCGATTCACCGCAACCTCCACCTCCCAAGTTCATGCAATTCTTCTGCCTCAGCCTCCTGAATAGCTGGGATTGATTACAGGCATGCGCCACCACGCCCGGCTAATTTTGTATTTTTAGTAGAGACGGGTTTCTCCATGTTGTTCAGGCTGGTCTAGAACTTCCAGCCTCAGGTGATCTGACCCCCTTGGCCTCCCAAAGTGCTGAGATTATAGGCGTGAGCCACCGTGCCCGGGCAGGTTTTCCTTCTAATGAAAAGCAGCCCCCAAGTTATTTTCTTTTCTAACAAAGAGCACCTTGTAAAATCGAGCTGCAGATATAGACAAGCAAGCTAGAAGCTTGCATGGGTGAATGCTAGCAGCTGTGTCGTAGGAAAAGGCTAACTGGGGACTAGGCACGTCCAGCATGGTGGCTCCATCTTCCTCTTTCTTTGTCAACTACATGCACAGTAAGGAGCAGGCAACGTGGCGCTGGCCAAGTAGAGACCTTATTTGCATAATAAGAGATTAGGGTGGGGTGACCAGCTTCCCCGCACACTATGTAAACGTCACACCTGGTCCAGCCAATCTTTGGGCCCTATGTAAATCAGGCACCGCCTCCTCAAGCCTGTCTATAAAACCCTGTGCATTCTGCCGCAGGCAAGAAGTCCCACTCAGGAACCCCTCTCCTTCACTGGAGACAGAACTGTTCTCCTTTCTCTTTCTTCTACTAAACCTCCATTGTTAATCTCACTCCACATGTGTCTGTCCTTGATTTCCTTGGCATGAGGCAACAAACCTCGGGTATTTACCCCAGACAATGACACCGCTTCACTGGGGGTCTTTTGAGTTCCCCCAAAATTGTCTTTTAGGGCTAAATTATGAGACCGTGAGCCTAAAATTAAGCAATCTGAATGAGTGGCATACTTCATGTGTTTCTTGAAGTTCTAAGCGCATTCTGATTCAAAATTGCCTCTCCACAAGACACTGGCTCAAAGCGAGCTGAGATTCTTTCCTGTCTGCAGCCTTCCTGTCCCATTTCTACACCTCTTCTTTATCCCTCTCTAAACTAAATTCTCTTTTCTCCAAACTCCTCAGTATTCTGGCATATTGACTATTTAAGTAAAGACACTTGAAAACAGCAGTTTTCAAAAAAATCATTTTGACCTTTGTGCTGTTTCTTTAAAGCAAAGGATGAAAAGTCCATGTAAAAGACTCTGCCTACACCAGAAGGAAAGGTAACACTCTACCTTCAAGGATGAGAAATTGAGACGAAGAGAATCCTGCACAGACATTTAAAGAATAGCTCTTACATTCTAAGCCTCACGTAATTTTGTCACGTCTTCACAGTTAACACCTATTCTTTGTCCAACCAGTATAGTAGTAACTGACTCTAACTGCTTTACCCAAAATTTGGTTCTATCACTCAGTAAAGCTCCTCTTTGCCTTGCTCACCCTCCACTTGTCTGCATACCTCGTTCTTCCTGGTCACAGGACGAGAACTCGGGACCCATGAAATGGCGAAGATAAAGGAGCTGTAACACAAACAGGGCTGAACATGGCCCTTGCTCGCCACATTTCCGGTGAAGAGAAGGAGAGAAAAGCTGCAGTGCTTCAGGGGAGCCCAGACCTGGGAGCTCCCTGAGCCAGGTCTGTGCTTCCCTCTTTGGGGCTCTGTGGTTCCTTAGCTGGGTGTGGTAGTGTGGGCCTGTAGACCCAGCTACACTCAGAAGACTGAGGTGGAAGGAGCCCAGGACTTCGAAGTTGCAGTGAGCTAGAATCACACCACTACACTGGCTCCAGTCTGGGTGCCAAAGCGAGACCCTATCTCTTTAAAAAAAAAAAAGAAAAAAAAGAAAAAAAAAAAACTATGCCAGGCACAGTGGTTCACGCCTGTAATCCCAGCACTTTGGGAGGCCGAGGCAGGCAGATCACAAGGTCAGGAGTTCGAGACCAGCCTGGCCAATATGATGAAACCCCATCTCTACTAAAAATAAAAAAATTAGCCAGGTGTGGTGGTGGGTGCCTGTAATCCCAGCTACTTGGGAGGCAGAGGCAGAGGCAGGGGAATCACTTGAACCTGGGAGGTGGAGGGTACAGTGAGCCGAGATCGAGCCACTGTACTCCAGCCTGGGCAACAGAGACAGAGTTTGCCTCTAAAAAAAAAAAAAATAAATAAATAAAATGCTTAGTGCAGGTGTGGCACCAACGGGAACTCAGCGAGTGTGCTGCAGGCATGCGGGAGCTGTGGTTTCAGGAGCACAAGGCTGTGGTGCCTTCTCTCAGGGCCTCCTTCCCCAGCAGCAGCCGCTCAAGGACAAGTCCACATGCATAGCCCGTGTTGACCTGCTGGGGTTGGGGTGAAGGCCCCTGGGCTTCTGATCCTGCCCCTCCCCCAGGCAGCAGGACCTTCCTTCTGGTTCCTGAGTCCCAGGGAGCCACCAAGGCCTTGGGAGGAGACAGCTCCTGACTTTGCTCAGAGTCTCAGTCAGGCCAGTCCTATCTGGAGATCCTAGCCAGGGACTCATGTTCCTGCCTCCAGTGAGGCTGGGGGCTTCCTGCAGAGGCTCAGCCTGGCCCCCAGGCCACAGGGAGGCCCCACCCACTGAGTGGGTGCAGATGGAGACCCTCTTGTCTGCTGTGCCTCAGGCTGCAGAGCCACAGAGCGGTCTTCCCAAGTCCCACACCTGGAGGGCAGGGAGGCCAGGGGCTTGTGGCCCTAACCCAACGCCTGACACACAAGGGCCAGCCGGCCCAGGGCCACCTCTGCAGGCAGGAGAAGGCCTCATTGTTCCCCTCTCCTGGCAGAATGAGGACTGGGTGTGCCCGGGGCAGGAATAAATGCTCAGTAAATCCCTCTCTTGGGAGCCCTGATCCCAAGGGACAAAGGGCCTGTGTTGAGTCTCCCTGTACGCGGGCTCAGGGCCAGCACTTGGGCCAGGGCAGATGGAGGGTGGGAGAGGGGTGCCTCCCACCAGGTGGGCTTCTTCCCCAGGTCAGGCATGCAGGTGAGGAGGAGTGTCGTGTGTGCATGCCCCCCGCGTGCGGGAGAGGCTGGGCGGTGTGTGTCTGGCTGCATGTGTATGCATGCATCTTCAAGTGCACGTGTGTGAATGAGCATGTGTGATCCCCATGTTCGTACCATCTTAACCTCCCCTCCAGTGTATACTGTCTCTGCCTCCTAGTCCCCCCAACCCCAGTTGGTGCTTCTAGAGTCCTGGCCCAGATGACTCTCCTTCTGGGCACCAAACCCTGTTAGCCTGGAGTTAGGAAGAAGGCCTCTGAACTGCCAGCAAAACATGGAAAGGTGCCCTCAGGCTGGGCTGGGGCAAGAACACAGCCCCTTTGTGCCACCTCTGAGCTCCTGTCTCCAAGAGCTGTGCTGGCCAAGGGCTTGGCCTCTTCCACCTCCACCTCCCTGAAGGAGGTTCCTCCTGAGAGGGGCTCCTCTTACCCTCCCCCAGCCTGGGGTCTGCTTCCCTCGAAATCAGAGGAGCGCTTGAGGGGGTACAGAGAGGTGCAACTGGGGCCTCACCTTGAAACACTAGTCAGTAGGAACCCAGCCCTGATCAGCCTCTCCAGGGAGATGGTACAGGCGCCAGAGCAAGGGCCAGGTGCCAAGGCTAATGTGCTGCTCTGCTCCTGCCCCATCAGGGCTGGGGGGTCACAGGGAGCCCCCTTCCTGACTGTGCCATCCAGCACCAGGTACAGGGCTATGGTGGTTCTTTGGGAATAGGTATTGACCAGGGGTGGGTGGACATTTTGTGTGAAGGGCCAGATAGTAGAATTTTAGGTTCAGGGGCCGCAGGTCTCTGTCACAGCCATGTGAGCTTCTGCGCAAGCATGAAGGCAGCCACAGGCCACATGCCAATGAGCGCACGGCAGCTGTGGGCCAATGATGCTTGACTTATGAACTGGGGCATGGGAATTTCAAATAATTTTCATGGACCACAAGACATCGTTCTTTAGAATGTTTCCTAAGAATGTTAACATGTAGGAGACATTCTTTGCTCATGGGCTGGGCAGAGGTGCCCAGGTGGTGGTTGGCTGGGCCGTATATCGCCACCCCTGGCGCAGGCCCCGGTTCAAGTCATTAAAGTCCCGCCCCTCTCGCAGCCCCTGCCCACCCTCATCCCGTTGAGACCAGCGTCCCCGTTCCTGGCGAGCCAGCACTTCCAGAGTCATTCTGTGCATACGCAAAGCCCTGCTCCACACCCCTCTGCCTGGGAAGCGTGTGGGGTCCAGATACATTGGTCTTCCACCCTGTTTCCCTGGGGGACGGGTGTGCAGTGGGAGCGTCCCCCACCCTCTCCACCCAACTTTTCCAAAGCCAGGGATCCACCACCGGGGCTCTCAGCATCTCCAGGTGGACGCGTCTGTGATTTCTCAGCTTTTGCTCTTTCCAAAGGTTAACGTTGTACAGTCTCCCCCAAGGCATAAAGTCTAAGGGTCAGGGAAACTGGCCCCGGGGGGAGGATCTCAGCTCCTCACAGCACCCTCAGGGGGAGGTTCTGCTGTTATCCACACAGAACAGAGGCCCAGAGAGGTGAAGCAAGTGCCTGCAGATCCCAGCCCAGCTACATAAGGAAGCCGGGCTGGACCCGCCTCTGGCTTCAGGGTCCTGTGTTGGTGATCATGGCTCTGTGGCTGTTCCGAGTGGTCATGGGCCCTGCGGAGCTTCAGTCCCTGGAACACACACGAAAGGTGTCCTGAGGACACGCATGGAACTGCGTTTGAGCTGCAATCTGTCCCCTGATTGCAGGGCATCTGACAGCCTTTATCTCTTCTCCCCTGATCCTTATCCGACACCCCACCTCTTCTGCAGACTCCAGCTCACTCCCAATGCCCTGGGTCCTTCAGGGTCCTTGGGACGAGACACCTCCAAACACCAGCCTGGGGGGTTGCCCTCCCCAGGCCCTCTGCCTCCCATCGTGGCAAGGACTGCACCTTTGGTGTCCTTCCCTCCCATGATCTCTGAGCCCCTGAACACTGGCTCATACCCTCTCCACCCAGATGCAGCACAGAGGAGAAACCCAGGCAGCCTCCAAGGGCAGTGCCTTGAGGGCCAGTGCCTGGGGCACCTGTTGCACAGGGCACAGGACACAAAGGGCTGGGTGGTCCATTCAAGCTCTCTTGGGGCCCGCATCGAGCTCAGCCTGGGTCCTAGGAAGCCTGCCAGGCACCAGGTGCTGCCTGAGTCTGAAGGAGGCCCTGACTCCAGGTTGCCCACGGTGGCAGTGGGCCCCACGGAGCTTCTGTGGACCCTTGACCTGTTACCCTTGGGTGGAAGCCAATAAGCCAGCCTCTCCCCAACTCTGCCATCCAGGTCGGCACCAGTGTTGACTGAGAGAGCCCAGAGGTGATCGTGAAGTGCCTGTCACTGTCCCCAGCTCTGTTTGTGTAGGCTGCAGAGCCAAGACAGCAAATGCCACACGTCCGGGAGCCTCCCCAAGGCCGGCCCTGGGCCTTCCCCCAGGAAGAGCCCCACGGCCAGCTCCTTCCTGTCCCCCTGGTGGCCCCTTGCTCCTTCCTTCTGGATGGGGGCCCAGAGGGCCCAGGAGAGTATAAAGGCGATGTGAAGGGTGCCCGACACAATCAGACACCCAGTCACAGGCGAGGTAAGGTGCTTGGCTCCATGGGTGGGGCCCAGCGAGGCCACACTGGCCCTTGCTTTGGAGTCAGGAGGCCTCTCTTCTTCCCACAGAGCCCTGGGATGCGCCGGCCAGAGGCCATGCTGCTGCTGCTCACGCTTGCCCTCCTGGGGGGCCCCACCTGGGCAGGGAGTAAGTCGGTGGAGTCTGCCCTCAACCTCCCCTGCCTCCCTCCAGGAGAGCCAGGGCCTCACCCGGCCCTTGTCCCAGACTAACTCTGGTCACGGAACCATCCTGTCTGCCTGGAGGGGCGGGGTCCCCTGTTCTGGCAGAGGTTGCCCCCATATCACTGCGTGGGGATTTTCTTCCCTTTTGTTCTCTTTTCTGCAGAGATGTACGGCCCTGGAGGAGGCAAGTATTTCACCACCACTGAAGATTACGACCATGAAATTACAGGGCTGCGGGTGTGTGTGGGTCTTCTCCTGGTGAAAAGGTGAGTGAGGCCATGTCCCCACCCATCCCACAGTTTCAGGAACTCGGGGCAGCCGGTGGGCACCTGTAGCCACTTTTCCCACGCATGCCTGGCTCCCACCGATGCTTCATGGCTTGAGCAGAGGTCAGACCGTCCTCCCTACCTTCTCCCTTCAACCCAAGCTCAACTCAACCAAAAATGACCTCTCCGTCCCCATGCCTGATAGGAAAGTCAGGGAAAAGTCTGTCCGATTACTGTCAAAGAAGACAGGAGGTAAGGGTCAGAGTGGACCACTGACTGAACATGAGTCAGCAGAAGTGTTAGAGGCAGAAATCCAGGACCATTTCCTTCATATCGAGGTGTCTGTGCTGGAGGTCTGGGATGGATTTTTGCCCTGCACTTAGGAGTTCTGGGGTCCTGGGAGAGGGGAGAGAAGCCCAACAGCAGAGGAGACTGTGTGAGCGTGGCGAGCTGGAGGGGTGCGTCCTAGGAGAGCAGCAGGGTGAGGGAGGGATGCAGATAAGCCCCGTCGGGGAAGTGCTGGCGAGTGTGGGAAGTCACCTGCCCCTCAGTCTGTGAGCTGCTCTGCTCAGAGTGACTAAGGCTTGGGAGGTCCAGGCTCGGCCAGAGGCAGCTCATATGTGGGCCACAGTGGCGGCAGCTGGTGCCTTCTGCAGTCACGTGGACCAGGCACTGCGCGGAGGTCTCCTCGCCTGGACCTCAGTGACTCCTCCCAAAAATCACATCCACTTTGCAGATGGGGAAACTAAGTCCGAAGAGGCTGAGTAATGAGCTCAAGATCACAGGGCCTGAAAGTGGTAGAACCAGGGTTGGTGACCAGTGAGTTTGTGTTAGGGACCCGAATTCTGATGGCGCTGGACTCTCTGCATCCTGGGAAGGAGGGTGGGGGCGCTGAGGACCCGGGATGTGCTGGGCCATCCCAGATCTGGGCGTCCAAAGCTTTGCCTCTCCCCCAGTGTCCAGGTGAAACTTGGAGACACCTGGGACGTGAAACAGGGCGCCTCAGGTGGGAATACCCAGGAAGTCACCCTGCAGCCAGGCGAATACATCACAAAAGTCTTTGTCGCCTTCCAAGCTTTCCTCCGGGGTATGGTCCTGTACACCAGCAAGGAACGCACTTTCTATTTTGGGAAGCTCGATGGCCAGATCTTCTCTGCCTACCCCAGCCAAGAGGGGCAGGTGCTGGTGGGCATCTATGGCCAATATGGACTCCTCGGCATCAAGAGCATTGGCTTTGAATGGAATTACCCACTAGAGGAGCCGACCACTGAACCGCCAGTTACTGTCACATGACCATCAAAGGCACCCTCGGGTCTCTAGGGTGGGGTACGGGGCCATCCGAGCTGAGGCCATCTGGGTGGTGGTGGCTGACGGTGCTGGAGTAACTGAGTCGGGACGCTGAAACTGAATCCACCAATAAATAAAGCTTCTGCAGAATCAGTGCATCCAGGATTGGTCCTTGCATCTGGGGTACAACCAAACCCTCCCCTGCTCCTTGGAGACAAAGGCCACAGTGCTGGAGCCCAGTGAACTGAGATGAGGGATAGGGCAAAGGTGACTCTGCCGAGGACAGAAAGAGAGCAGCACCACCCCCTCAGGGGTGCTGTGGGTCTCTGTGCCAGTCCCACAATCTTTGAAGAGTCAGGCTTCAAGGCCACCACTCCCCACTGTCCCTCACCCCAGGCCTATCCAGCAGGCCTCTTCTGGCCACTCAGTCCCAGGCTTCTCTGAGTGTTCAAGGGGTCTCAGGGAAGCCACTCACTCATCCATTCACTCAGTAAATGTTTGCCAAGGCCTTGTCCTCACCAGGCTCTCCTGGCACTGGGGGGTATAAAGAAGAGGTCAGGTTTCAGCTGAGTGTGTATACACCGTGGTGGGGGCTGGTGCAGAGGCAGATAGTGGCAGTTCACTTTGCCATCTGCATGGTTGGGGACACATGTAGGTCATTGTGTGTGGGCACCTGCCCAGAGGTGAGGTGAGGGGGATGTGCTTCAGGGAAGTCTTCCTAGAGGAGGCAATGTCTGAGGTAAGTCTTAAAGGATGAGGGACAGTTGGCCAAGTGGAGACAAGGGGAGGAGGGCATTACAGTTTGAGGGCTCAACATGAGCAAAGGCAGGAGATGCAGATGGCTGGAGATAGTAGACCTCACACTGTGGTAATTTGTCACAGTAGCAACAGGAAATCAGTATAAGCCCTAGACCTGGCCCATTCTTCATGTCCCCTTCCCAAGCCTCCAAGTCCACATGGGCACTTGCCAAGATCAGAGCTCCAGGGGCCTCCAGGGACAGGGTTTTCAGCCCTTTGGGACCATGATCCACAGAGAGAAATTGATCCTACTTGAGACACAGGAAGCAACACGTGTAATGCAACAGCCAAACACCCAGTGATCCTCTAATGCAACAAACAGTCAGTGATCAGGGGAAGGGCCAGGTCCTGTTTCAGGGGCTCCACCCAAAGTCCCCACACACAACAACTGAAGGACAGGACTTCAATTATCTCTGCAAAATGAGGAAACTGAGGCACTGAGGGCAAAGTCACTTGTCCTACACAGCAGTTAGAGGTAGAGTTGGAAGTTCACCTTGGGGTGGCCAAGCTGCAAAGTCTGGCCCCTGAACACCAGACCTAGGCAAAGATTTCACAACCCAGCTTCATCTTTGTGCATGAAATACACACTAGCATTTTTTTCTCTTCTCTACTTCTATTTTTATATTTCTTTATTTTTAAATGCTGGTTGAGAGCCACTTCTTAACCTGGAAATCAGAAATCAAAATTCAGAGAATCTGTGAACTGAGATGGGGGAAAAATTACCTCTTTTTTTTTTTTTTTAATTGCCCTTGACTGAAAATTTCATGTTTCCTTCGAGTATGAATGTGACCTCATATGCAACACCCATGAAATGACCACATCAAATACTGTTGTCATAGACACCTTGAAATTTACAGCTGTCACCACTTCAAAATTATGGTGATCAGACGTGCCATTCAACATGTTGATAATCAAAGCCCAGGCACAGAACACATTTAAGAAAACATTTTGGGCCAGGCACGGTGGCTCACACCTGCAATCCCAGACTTTGGGAGGCCAAGAGGGGTGGATCACGAGGTTAGGAGTTCCAGAGCAGCCTGGCCAACATGGTGAAACCCAGTCTCTACTAAAAATACAAAAATTAGCTGGATATGGTGGTAAGGAAGGAGACCACTACTACTCCTGCTGCCCTCCTCCCCGCACCTTGCCTAGTTCACAAGAGCAGAAAAAAAGCAAAAAGTTGGAAAAAAACAAAAGTAAGATAAATAGCCAGACAACCTTGGCACCATCATTCGGTCCTAGGAGTTAAAAAAAGTAATAATAATAATATCAACCCCTGACCTAAACTACTTGTGTTATCTGTACATTCCAAACACTGTATGAAAAAAGCATTGTAAAACTTTTTGTTCTGTTAGCTGATGCATGTAGCCCCCAGTCACGTTTCCCACGCTTGCTCGATTTATCACGACCCTTTCATGTGGACCCCTTAAAGTTGTAAGCCTTTAAAAAGGCCAAGAATTTCTTTTTCGGGGAGCTCAGCTCTTAAGACACGAATCTGCCGACATTCCCGGCCAAATAAACCACTTCCTTCTTTACCCCGGTGTCTGAGGAGTGTTGTCTGCAGCTTGGCCTGCTACAGTGATACATGCCTGTGGTCCCAGCTACTCGGGAGACTGAGGCAGGAGAATCGCTTGAACCCAGGAGGGGTTGCAGTGAGCCAAGATCATGCCACTGCACTCCAGCCTGGGCTACAGAGCGAGACTCCATCTCAAAAAAAAAAGAAAAGAAAAGCAAACATTTTGATAAGCGAATCTGCAGCTGCTTTGCAGGAGAAGCCCCTTTCCTTTCTGCAAGAGGAATGAGAAGTCCCTGGGGCCAGCTGGGGACCTCCCCTCTGTCCAGCCCAACAGCTCCATCAACTACTTTTTACTTCTCAGGGTTCTATTTAATTCTTTTAAAATTTGTGTTTTAGTAAGTTTCTTTCGCTTGTGTTTATTTTTCTTTTATTTATTTATTTTTTCTCCCAAGCTGGAATGCAATGGTGCAATCATGGCTCACTGCAACCTTGGCCTTCTGGGCTCAGGTGATCCTCTCACCTCAGCCTCCTGAGTAGCTGGGACCACAAACACATGCCACCGTGCCTGGGTTTTGTTGTTGTTGTTGTTGATTGTAGAAACAAGGTCTTGCTGTGTTGCCCAGGCTTGCTATGTTTTCATTTACTAAATTTGGTGACCCTAACTCAAGATACTTTGGGCACTTTGGGAGAAGGATAGGTCCCAAGAGGCAGAAACTGGTGAGGGCAGTCAGGATCAGGGCTGTCGGAAAAGCCTGGCGCTTCCTGGACAGAGCAGAGGACCAGTGGGGGAGACGGAATTGCACCCCTCCAGTCAGGGGAAGGCAGGGCAGGTCTTTTCAGCACCTGCTCATGTGAGAGGGTTTCTGTCACTTGCTACCGAGGGTACCCAAGGAAGCCAGGACGACCCTGGAGAGGAGCCTTCCTCAAGAGGTTTCTCTCTGAACCTCACGCACTTGTTCTCCAGCCTTGATAAGGACTTCCACCCCCTCTACCCAAGCCTGTGCCATTTCAGGCCCCACGTGGGGGTGTCCAGGTCAGGCCGGAGGAACCAAGATGGGGGGAGTGTTGGGTAAAGACCGGGAGGGGAGGATGGGGCGGTTCCAGGGGCTCCCATGGTTTGAAATCCTCTGTGGAGAAATGACGAGGAACAAGCTCAGGAATCCCAAGTCCCACTCACCCCTTCATGAGGCTGTGATCCCCATGAGGACGCAGGTCCCCTGACTCTCCCCTGCTCTTTGCCCCAGTGTAGAAGGAGGACCCTGCGTTTCTGGAGGAGCAGGCCTGTGCTGAGAGAAAGGGGAGCAGGGGAGAGAGCCTGCAGGAGGGCTCTCTGGGCCCCGCAACTTCCACACACAGGCCTACTTTGCCATAAGCCAGGGCTGAGTGCCGGCAGGGCCCCGGGGGCTGGGGACTCCCCCGGGCACTGCAGGCCACACTGGGGAGCTTTGGGCCCTGCCTGGAGACAGTTTTGGTTGTGACATGGGGGTGGGGGAAGTATTCCTGGCCTCTGGTGGGTGGACACCAGGGATGCTGCCACATGTCCTGCGAGACACAGGACAGCCCCCCACCTTCTTCTCTAGGAAAGAATTATCTGGTCCCAAACCTCAGTAGGTCAAGGTTGAGAGCTCTGGCCTACGGCATGAGGCCTGGCAAGCTGGCAGATACAGCATCCGGGGCAGCGTGGGCCTGGAAGGAACACTGTGGCTGTGAGGAGCGTGGGCAACTTGCTCTGGCCTGCCCTCCCCTCCTGGGAGGCTGCTGCTCTCCCTCACACACCCTGTGCATCTGGTGGGGGTGCCGGAGTAGTTCCAGCTCCCCAAATCTCCCAACCTTTGAGCCGGGGCCTGTGCCTGCCATCCTTTGCGGCATGGGTTTTTCTTTTTTTTTCTTTTTTTTTTGAGATGGAGTCTCGCTCTGTCGCCCAGGATGGAGTGCAGTGGTGCGATCTCAGCTCACTGCAGCCTCCGCCTCCCGGGTTCACGCCATTCTCCTGCCTCAGCCTCTCGAGTAGCTGGGACTACAGACGCCCATGACCACGCCCGGCTAATTTTTGTATTTTTAGTAGAGATGGGATTTCACCGTGTTAGCCAGAATGGTCTCGATCTCCTGACCTTGTGATCCGCCTGCCTCGGCCTCCCAAAGTGCTGGGATTACAGGCGTGAGTCACCGCACCCGGCTATGGCATGGGTTATTTTATTTGAGCTGCTTCCCTCTCGGATCCTGGTCTCCAACCTCTCTAGGGTTATCCAGCCAGGGAGGGGATGCTGTGATATTTTTTATTTCTTTTCTTCCTTCCCTTCCTTCCCTTTTCCTTCCTCTTTCTCTTTTCTTTTCTTTCTTTTTCTTTCTCTCTTTCTTTCTTTCCTCTTTCTCTCTCTCTCTTTCTCTCCTTCCTTCCCTCCCTCCCTCCTTCCTTCCTTCCTTCCTTCCT